GCAAGTGAAACACAAAACTTTTGCCATTCAGAGGTGTTAAAAAAAAGACCACACACACACAGAGCCCGGAAGACAAAAGTTTTGCCAATGACAAACGCTGGTGTGAACAGCGCTTTGTTGGCATGCGCACTCTCCTGCTAACAAAGCTAACGCCGCTCGTTGGGGGTGGAAGTTTTTTATCGGTGGGAGAGCTCTCTCCTGCCAACAAACAGCAGCTACACTGTGCGCCTTTTAGTAGCACGGTATTAGTGGCACAGCCATGTCGCTAAAAGCTGTGTAGTGTAGACATAACCTAAATGTTGATCAAAATGTTTCAAATAGCATTCCTGTGACCCATCCAGGTTATTTTGGACAGAGTGTACTAGGTGGGGTATTCTCAGAGCAATTATCTTAAATTATATGACAAGATTTCTTCTTTTTTTTATTTTTTTGTTCTTTTGCTCACCTTAGATCTCCTTTATAATAAAAACTTCCTTGTGAAGTTGTCTGTCTTGTTCCCCTCAGCCTATTATCATGAGAGGAGGCAGGGGCAAAAATTAGTATGTCCCCAGCCCTCTAGCCTTTACTCTCTGTGCCTTTGCCTTCACAGGGAGCAGCTGTAATTAGCTGGAAGGAGACAACTGTTTTTGTTCACGTTTGACTTCGGCATGAAACAGAGGAGATCAGCCAAGGCAAATGTTTAGCAGGGTTAAAACAATCTTGTTTATCTACATTTCTCCAATTTGTTAATGACTGAACTAACATGTGAAAAAGCCTTCTATTTTTGCTGAGTCAGCTGTCTTTGCTTTCCCAGGAACACCTGGAGCCCCTAATTCCCAGACTTGTTTTTGCTCAGGCACACAAATTGAATTACATGTACAGCTCAATCGATTAGTCACTCATCCTCACTCTCTGTTCCTCCGATTTTCCCACCTGTATACTGATTCTGTACTGCAGAGGAGTCATGTGACAAAGCTGAATTGGGTGAGCATTTTTGACACAAAAAGAAAAGGAGTACTTGTGGCACCTTAGAGACTAACCAATTTATTTGAGCGTAAGCTTTCTTGAGCTACAGCTCACTTCATCGGATGCATACTGTGGAAAGTGTAGAAGATCTTTTTATACACACAAAGCATGAAAAATACCACCTCCCACCCCACTCTCCTGCTGATAATAGCTTATCTAAAGTGATCACTCTCCTTACAATGTGTATGATAATCAAGTTGGGCCATTTCCAGCACAAATCCAGGTTTTCTCACACACACACACCCCACACACACACACACACAAACCCACTCTCCTGCTGGTAATAGCTTATCTAAAGTGACCACTCTCCTTATAATGTGCATGATAATCAAGGTTGGCCATTTCCAGCACAAATCCAGGGTTTAACAAGAACGTCTGGGGAGGGGGGTAGGAAAAAACAAGGGGAAATGGGTTACCTTGCATAATGACCCAGCCACTCCCAGTCTCTATTCAAGCCTAAGTTAATTGTATCCAATTTGCAAATGAATTCCAATTGAACAGTTTCTCGCTGGAGTCTGGATTTGAAGTTTTTTTGTTGTAATATCGCAACTTTCATGTCTGTAATCGCGTGACCAGAGAGATTGAAGTGTTCTCCGACTGGTTTATGAATGTTATAATTCTTGACATCTGATTTGTGTCCATTTATTCTTTTACGTAGAGACTGTCCAGTTTGACCAATGTACATGGCAGAGGGGCATTGCTGGCACATGATGGCATATATCATATTGGTGGATGTGCAGGTGAACGAGCCTCTGATAGTGTGGCTGATGTTATTAGGCCCTGTGATGGTGTCCCCTGAATAGATATGTGGGCACAGTTGGCAACGGGTTTTGTTGCAAGGATAGGTTCCTGGCTTAGTGGTTCTGTTGTGTGGTATGTGGTTGTTGGTGAGTATTTGCTTCAGGTTGGGGGGGATGTCTGTAGGCAAGGACTGGCCTGTCTCCCAAGATTTGTGAGAGCGTTGGGTCATCCTTCAGGATAGGTTGTAGATCCTTAATAATGCGTTGGAGGGGTTTTAGTTGGGGGCTGAAGGTGATGGCTAGTGGCGTTCTGTTATTTTCTTTGTTAGGCCTGTCCTGTAGTAGGTGACTTCTGGGAACTCTACTGGCTCTATCAATCTGTTTCTTCACTTCCGCAGGTGGGTATTGTAGTTGTAAGAATGCTTGATAGAGATCTTGTAGGTGTTTGTCTCTGTCTGAGGGGTTGGAGCAAATGCGGTTGTATCGCCGAGCTTGGCTGTAGACGATGGATCGTGTGGTGTGGTCAGGGTGAAAGCTGGAGGCATGTAGGTAGGAATAGCGGTCAGTAGGTTTCCGGTACAGGGCGGTGTTTATGTGACCATCGTTTATTAGAACTGTAGTGTCCAGGAAGTGGTTGGTGGTGGGATGGAAATTGTTGAAATCATGGTGGAATTCCTCAAGGGCTTCTTTTCCATGGGTCCAGATGATGAAGATATCATCAATATAGCGCAAGTAGAGTCGGGCGTTAGGGGACGAGAGCTGAGGAAGCGTTGTTCTAAGTCAGCCATAAAAATGTTGGCATAGTGTGGGGCCATGCAGGTACCCATAGCAGTGCCGCTGATCTGAAGGTATACATTGTCCCCAAATGTAAAATAGTTATGGGTAAGGACAAAGTCACAAAGTTCAGCCACCAGGTTAGCTGTGGCATTATCAGGGATAGTGTTCTTGATGGCTTGTAGTCCATCTTTGTGTGGAATGTTGGTGTAGAGGGCTTCTACATCCATAGTGGCCAGGATGGTGTTATCAGGAAGATCACCGATGGATTGGGGGTGTGAGAAAACCTGGATTTGTGCTGGAAATGGCCCAACTTGATTATCATACACATTGTAAGGAGAGTGATCACTTTAGATAAGCTATTACCATCAGGAGAGTGGGGTGGGGGGAGGTATTTTTTCATGCTTTGTGTGTATAAAAAGATCTTCTACACTTTTCACAGTATGCATCCAATGAAGTGAGCTGTAGCTCCCGAAAGCTTACGCTCAAATAAATTGGTTAGTCTCTAAGGTGCCACAAGTACTCCTTTTCTTTTTGCGAATACAGACTAACACGGCTGTTACTCTGAAACCTGTCATTTTTGACACAGCTCTTGTTCCAGTCCCTGAATATGACAACTTCTAAATGGATATGCAGAAAACTAATAAGTTAATTCAATTCAATTATTTTAAGACCAAAAGAATATGAAGGGGAAACGATAAATTCTGAGAGTTTCATACTTTTGACTCTTATTTGGCACCAGAAATAGAGATTTTATTGTGATCAGAAAAAGGAAGTGACCCCTTTTAAAAGGACAGGTAAAGTAGCAAAAGTAAAAAACAAAAATCATAACAGTATTAGGATCAAGTCAGGGCTGTGAGGGATATTCACAATCCATCTCAAATCCATTTATACTGAGCCTTGCATTCAAAGTTTGATACATTCATGAACCTCAGCCCAAATTGCAAAATTCAGCAAACGGGCTGAAGTTGTTTGCCCACCTGGGAAGCTGGCAGACTCCTTTCTCACCATCTGGGCCCTTCCATTACTGTTCTTCAACTTGCACCAGCAGCCTCTTGAAGGTAACTTGTATGAGGAAAAAGAGGGTTCTCAAAATATTTTTATGATGTGGATGTTAACTCTACTTTATAGATGGGGAACAAACAGAGGCATAGCAAAGTTAAGTAACTTAGCTGAGGTCATATAGAAAGTCAGGAATAGAATTCAGGTTCCCCACTCTAATCACTCCTAGTGTATGCTGCCTCAATGTTCAAAAAATAATTGATCTGAAAGAAGGAGCGAGAAAAATCCAGGAAAAAAGCGAGCAGAGTTATGAATTATGATTTAGTGGTTATGTCAGTCCAGGAGAGAGAACTTGTCTCTTCTACCCTGATGGTACTTGGGATAAAATACAAGAGAATGCAGTGCCAGTCTCCTTGATAAATTGAGCACTAGAAAAGCCCTGAATGCAAAATTATCTAGCAGATGATAAATCTGCTATAATAAATAAAAAGGCAATAAAGCCAGAAAAAGTATTATCAGTGAAAAGTTAAACTTTCCTCCAAACTCTTTACACCTAAACTTTTCTTTTTTTTTCCACTCTGGATCGCTAGGCATATGACTATTATGTAGTTATGTTTTTCAGTTCATAATCTGAGATTCTATTATGCACAACATCTTTGCCAGGGAAGTGAAAGTCATTTGTTTACATATTAGAATACGGGTGAGTTGCTTCTGAAAAATATCCTCAAGGAACTAACTGGCAGGCTGAATGTGCAGCTGATTTGGGGTCAGATGTTCTAAAGTTTAGCAGACTCTAAAATACAGATAAGCTGACCCAAGTCTGCACAAGACAATATCTGGGGGTATCCACACATGCTCTCTCTCCAGTAAATAACTGGCTCACCAGCAAGGATTCCAGGCTACTGCCTTTTTTTAAAAAAAAACAAAAAACAAAAAACAAAATCAAGCAAGAGGCTTATTTCAGCTAATTTGAATTGGCCAAAGCTGTGATCACATGCCTGAAAATACCACTTTCTGGGCTAGTACTGTGATGGATGGCTATACTTGGATAGATAAAGTATCATTGCTTCCACTTTAGTATCATCAGGAAATTTGCTAGAAGGTCATTGTAAGGAGGAACTATAGGATCTCTGTTCACGCACACTCCTCAAAGAATGGAAGCCAAGAATGAATGAGCTCAGACATGAGGAAAATGGATTGGAGATCATACACTGGAAGAACAACGCTACAGAGAACCATTAACGAATTATGGACTGCAACACATAAAGTAGTCCCTGCTAAGAGATAGGACAGAGAGCTTTGGGGAAACACAAAAAGGTGTCACTTCCAAGAAGCAGTAATGAGCCAAGATACTACTAATATCAAATAAGAAGACTGCTATCAATCAGGCACTACCCTTTATAGCGTACAACTTTCTCAGTTGATTATACCACCACTCATCAGACATGCATCTACATGACAATAAATTATGTCAATTACCTTTTCAGCATTGGGGCAATGCAGAGCCATAACATCTGGGGGACCTCTGGAAAGCCCAGTATCTCAGTGCGGTACAGTACCTCCCTCAGAACCATAACGCACAGGAGGAGTGTGTAGAACATACACTTCCTTTGAATTGTGCAGCAATCTCCTTTCCCTGTGCCTGGCCAGCCCTGCAGGGGTAAGAGAGATGATCTTTCCCACCTGCTCTCCATCCATGTTACAGTAGATCACACCACCAGGGATACAGAGAGCAGTCCCTACATTTCCCCAAGCAGAGTATCTGAGAGTCCTCAGCTCTTGTGCAGTGGGGTGGGAGGGAAGTACCTTGTGGGAATCTGGGCCCATGTTGTTTTATTTATTGGGTATGCTTTTCCACACAATGCACATTTACAAGGTGGAATTCATTACCACAAGATTTCCTTGAAACTAAGAGCTTTGTAGGATTCAAAAAAGGATTAGACATTTATATGGATAGTAGGAACATCCAGAGTTACAATAGCATGAACTAAAAACAAAGTAACTAAAATAAAAACAAAAAACACATGAACCCTTATGCTTAGAACATAAACCAACCTCTAGAAATTGGGGGGGAAAGAAGAAACTATCCTGATGAGCAGGTTATTCCATAACTGCCACCGCAGGGTTTCTGAACCTTCCTCTGAAGAAGTGGGTGCTGGCCACTGTCAGAGACAGGATATTGGACTAGACAGACCATGGGTCTGATCCTGTATGGAGGTCTCTAGGTTTGTTTCTCTTCTTGCTTGTTCAAGTCTACACCTATGGATTGGGTTTAGCTATTATTAATGGGAGAAACATGTTGTGACTGTCCACTCTGGGATTAGAGGTAGCCAGAAATTTTCTGGTGGAATACATTGCTGCCAGAAACTGCCAATTTCTTTAAATCCAGATGTTCCACAGAGACAGTTTGTTTCAATCAGAGCTGGCAGAAAGCAGGCAGGTTTCCTGCCAGCTTGCCCACTCAGCTCCTTGGCAGCCCACTGGGCAGGCTGATGAGGAGCCGAGAACCTGGAAACCCAAGCTCCCATGCTCCTAACTTCCCAGGCAGACTGCTCCAGAGTCAGGGAGCCCAGGGCTTTCCCTTTTATGGAAAAGTTTGAAATAGTTGGTTTTCATTCCAAATCAGAAGAAAGCTAAATTTCAAAACACTGAAATCCTTTGCAAAACAGAATTACTTTTCTCTGCATAGCTCTACTTGGGATGCAAGAACGGCTTTACTCAGAGAGAAGCAGTATGCAGGTGGAGTCCCATAGGGCACTCTATGGTATAGGTTTTAGAGAAGACCCACCATGGCACTAAATTTTAAAGCAACATGATCAGCAATTCCAGCAAAGGAATTACAAATTTTCATTGAAATGGAGCAGGCTGGCTGCAAAGTAGATCTGAGGCAGAGTAGCAGACCTAGGCTTTGTGACCGGCATTCTCTGACAAAACTGCCAAATGCTTCAGGAAATACGGAATATATCTGGTATTCCTCTCAAGAATAGGCTCAATGATGGAGTGGGTATGGACCATCCAGCGGCTCCTTAAAAGAGATTTGCTGTTGGGGGGAGAACAGGCCACCCAGTTGTCTCACCCATCCCAACAAGTGGTTGAGTAGGTGGAATTTTTAACCAATTTTTTTAACTTTGGTCAAATAGGTCCATTTCAGGTATTGTACAAAGGTCCAGTGAAGCTTTAGGAAGGGTCACATCCCTAGTAGCAAATTGCAGGAGCTCCCCACATGCTTCCATAGCACCCCTGTGTTCAGTAGTACTGTACCAGTTCAGAGCCGACCGATTCCTTTCATATGGTGTCTATCATATGTCAGTATGACATGCTGTCAAGGTTCCTTCCCCACTCTGAACTCTAGGGTACAGATGTGGGGACCTGCATGAAAACCTCCTAAGCTTACTTTTACCAGTTTAGGTTAAAACTTCCCTAAGGTACAAACTATTTTACCCTTGGACTTCCACCAAACTTTATCTGGGTTCCTGAAAAAACATAGTTTGGAAACGTCTTTTCCCCCAAAATCCTCCCAACCCTTGTACCCCACTTCCTGGGGAAGGTTTGGTAAAAATCCTCACCAATTTGCATAGGTGACCACAGACCCAAACCCTTGGATCTTAGAACAATGAAAAAGCATTCAGTTTCCTTACAAGAAAACTTTTAATAGAAGTAAAAAAGAATCACCTCTGTAAAATCAGGATGGTGAATACCTTACAGGGTAATTAGATTCAAAACATAGAGAATCCCTCTAGGCAAAACCTTAAGTTACAAAAAAGACACACAGATAGGAATAGTCATTCTATTCATGCTATTTTCTCAGCCATTTAAAGAAATCATAATCTAACACATACCTAGCTAGATTACTTACTAAGTTCTAAGACTCCATTCCTGTTCTGTCCCTGGCAAAAGCATCATACAGACAGACACTTTGTTTTTCTCCCTCCTCCCAGCTTTTGAAAGTATCTTGTCTCCTCATTGGTCATTTTGGTCAGGTGCCAGCGAGGTTACCTTTAGCTTCTTAACCCTTTATAGGTGAGAGGATTTTTCCTCTGGCCAGGAGGGATTTTAAAGGGGTTTACCCTTCCCTTTATATTTATGACACATGCCCAAAGGGGAATAAAGTGTCAACAGCACTAAATAATTGGAGTGTATTCAGACCACCCATATTTAATGGCTGTTTGTTTGTTTTTCAACAGAGAATATTTGGGGTTTTAGCGTATTTCAGAACACTGGAAAAAACAATTTTCCAAGCCCAGGAAATTACCACTGTATAAATAACAATCATATCAATATCACTTCCCCTGAAGTTTTTATCTTCATCCCTAAAGTACACATGCAGGTTTTATACTAAGTCTCACTTTAATGGACTTCCCCCCGCCCTCCACACAGACATTGAATGTTTTTCTAAAGAAAAGCAAACTTGGGGGGGGGGGGGGAACAGACCAAACAAATAGAATTCTAGGAGTTTCATAATGAGTGTGTTGCTTAAATGATTAGCCGGCCACTTTTGCCAATAGATCTCAGGCTTTTTTATTGAACTTACTACTTTATATTCGAAAAGGTTCGAAAAAAATGACTCTGCTTCCAATCAAGCTGTTTTGATATAAGGGTCATAGTACTGAATTTCTCCCTAAAAGATGGGGATAGAATGAGGAAGGCAGAAGGCAAACACGGGATCATAGGAATTGCCACTCTGGGTCAGATTTAAGACCCATCTGATCCAGTATCCTGTCTCTGACAGTAGCCAGCATCACAAGCTTCAGAGGAAGGTGGAATAAATTGTGCAACAGGCAAATGTGGGGTAATCTGCCCTCTTTGAAGGTCTCGTCCCAACCCCCAATAGATAGCATAGGTTTATGCCCTGAAACAGGAGATTTTACTCATGTTTACTCTTTTTCCTAGCACTGACTTTTATAACTCTAGGAGTTCTATAATCCATATAAATGTCCAATCCCTCTGACAATCCTGACGGTTCTCTGAAAAGCCCATCATTTTGTAGTTTCGTCTAAAAAATAACCTTTTGTTTGTTTTCCCTTGAAACAGGAGTTATTGTTTTCACCACTTGAAGGCTTCTTTTACTGTCAAAATCAAAACATTTCACCCCAGGAAAATTTGTGAACATATTTTTCTTTCTTTGGGTGCAATTCTACCATTTTATGGCAAAAACCTGAGTTTGCTGACACAAATTCCTCTACTGCTCATGGGCACTGACTCTGTGCATGCTTCACAGCTGGAGCACCCACAGGAAAAAGTAGTGGATGCTCAGCACCGATCAGCTGTTTGGGGGGAGGGTGAAGAGCAGCCAGGGCCTCGGGGAAGGGGTTAGAACAGGGGAAGGAAAAAGCGGAGCGAGGGCGGGGTCTTGGGGGAAGGTCGGAGTGGGGGTGGGGTCTCGGGGCAGAGTGGGGGTGGAGCACACCTAGGGAAAAATAAAAGTCAGCACCTATGCCACTGCTCACTCATTAAATTTTCAAACACGGACCTTCAAGCTTGGCCTCACACTCTTAGGAGGTACTCCCTGTAAACATCCAGAAAGCTACCTCATTATCCACCTTCAAAGCTCTCCTCAACTCTCTCCTCTGCCATGATACATACAAAAAAAACTTGACAATGGTTAGGTTGTTGGTGTGCAGAGACCAGTTTATCACATTTAACAAAATTATCTCATTGTTTCCTTGTACTCCCATATCTATCTATCTATCCCCATCTGTTATCTCTTGTCTTAGATTATAAGTTCCTTGGGGCAGGGACTGTCTTTTTCTTCAGCGTTTGTACCGCACCTAGCACAGTGGGGGCCTGGTTCATGACTAGGGCTACTGGGTAATACAAATAATAGGTAATAAAATAATAATAAATGTGAAATTTTGCCCCAGAAGGAGTTTACAGATTCATATGGAAACAGATCATTTTCTCACCTCTGTTTGGGCTACATCTATCCGCATGTCAGCATGAAGCCCATTTGTTAAAGTGTAGTTCTTGTCTTTTGAAGAAAATGCCAGCAACAAGACCTTGAGTAAGATTCAGGACCCAGTCTGCTATGAAAACAAGTTATGAACACATCCCTCATGTACTGTGCAGCATGTGGTGTTAAGAGAGAAAAAAATCTCTACACGAATCAGCAATTATAGCAACACTTCAGAAAGGCTGTGAAAAGAATGCACATATATATGCCAAACAACTCGTAATCTGATGAGGTTCAAGTTATTTCCCAGCGACAAATTGAAGGCTAATAATATAGCACTGTATAATTTCACAGTCAGAATGAGCAATTGACTATATCCCGACAATGTTATGAGACACTTAGTCTAGTACCTGGAGGAAGCTTTAAGATAGTGAATCATGCTCTCATGTAGGAAACCTGAGGAGGGAGCTGTCAAATATCTCAGCATTTGCAGTCTTCTGCAAATGTTCAGTCAAATCAAATTCAACAGAAAGATGTCTCTGTGTCTTTCAAGAGGCATAGAAGTTGTCCAAAAGGATTTTGTTTTCTTTTGGGCAGTGCCATAGCAACACAACCTACGAACCCTGCAGTTGCAAGGGGGCCCCAGATCCAGTCCATAGTTTCAAGGTTATTTTGATTAATGTGGAGCAGACTAAATGTAGTGCAATTGTGGGATATTTGGCATTTATATGGCCCGTTGCACACTCAAAATCCTAGTGCACATGTAAAATCGAAAGAATGAGAGGATACACTGAACTGCTTAGACACACACACTGTGTTCCCTACTGAAATGGTACATTCCCTACCCATGACTGGTTGGCAAACCTCCCCTCTGCCCCCATACAAACTCTGTTCCTTGGAGATGATATATTCCCTGCTGGGGGTAAGCTTTCGCCTTTCTTCTTGATACTTGCAGGTATCTGTTACATGTTATGCTGCTGTTTAAAATTAGGTGCTCAGTGCATATGAATGCCCTTTGATTGTAAAGACTAACAAACTCAATAAGGATTTTTATTTATGGGAGGGACTATAGTGCTCCAATGCCCCAGTCAGGATCACTAGATCAGGGAGGCCGAGGGCCGCACAGCTTTGCCCCAGACGGAGCCTAAAAAGTTGCCTTTCAATTTAGTATATGTTTTGCCTTTCAATTTAGTTTAATGTCCTCTTATCATTGTATTATGATGAGAAAGAGTAAACAAGAGTGTGTGTGTGTGTGTGTGTGTGTGTGTGTGTGCGCTCATGCATTACCTCACTCCCATTTTTGCCCTTTATCTACCACTACATGTTTGCACAGCCAGGCCCTGTTGCACAAGATGTCAGGAGGTTTTAGAAAATTTACATCAGGTACAGCAAAAAGGAAGGAAAAAAGAGAAAGAGAGGATTAAGAGACATAAAGGTGAACTTGAGAGGTTTTTGACTCCTGGCATGTCTTCAAATATAGAATCAGTCCAGGAAACTGATCAAGAAAAAAGCTTTATAAGTGCATTAACAAAATAAGGATCAAGAAATGTTGTCTGACAGCTATGCTGCTATATAGCATCAAATGGTAGAGAAAAGCCACAACTGAGAAGACATTCAGCTAATTCTAGTATCCATTTTTAACGTCAGAGATCCTTCAACATGGCCCAAATTCAGAGAAGACAAAACAAAAATAGCCATAGTGAAACGCGGACCATTGCAAGTTAAAGGTAAAAGTTTTCCAAGTCACAACAGAAGGAGGTTTTACAAAAGAAAACTGTAAGAAAATTGAAAAACAGAGAAAATATACAAGGACACTGGCTTATATATTCTGGAAAAGTGGATGCATTGTTCAGTTTTTGTTGCAAATTATTTGGTGTTGGTAAGCTTAGTCTCATTAATTTTGGATTGCACATGTGATATCAGTAATGAGGAACAAATGTCTGTCATTTTGAGGTACATTAAGATCCAATAGATGGAAGTCAACATTGAAGAGCACTTTGATCATTTCTGAATATGCAGGAAACTACCAGAAAGGACCTGTCAGATGAAATACTATAGGAGTTATCCAGACATGGTAGGACATTTGATAATTGCAGGGGGCCATTTCTTAAATCCAGTGCTGAGTGACACAGCAAATTCCCCAAACTTGGTCAAAAACTCTTTTCAGTGTTCTTCAACAAATGTACACTACATTTGCTGCTTCAGCAAGTAGGTGGACAGTTTTGAAATCCTGTGAAAATAACATTAAAGCCTCTCTCCGACACAGATAAGAAAAAAAAATGGAAAGTGTTAAAGCTCTGCAGTTTCAGACACAGAATATGCAATCAGCACTGTTGAAATTGAGAGAAATGACAAAAGATAATGGGGTATATGCAGAAGCTGGATTGCTTGTGGATGAACACTCCTTATTTCAGAGTAGCGGCCGTGATAGTCTGTATCCGCAAAAAGAAAAGGAGTGCGTGTGTAACTTCAATTAATTTGCTGACATCAAGACTAAGCATTGAGCTCTGCAATTTTTTGCTAACAAAATTAATTTTAAACACGAAGCTGTACAAAACCACAAGTGAGACAATAAACTGAAATTAGGAGTAAAAAGAAAAGGAGTACTTGTGGCACCTTAGAGACTAACACATTTATTTGAGCATAAGCTTTCATGAGCTACAGCTTACTTCATCGGATGCATGCAGTGGAAAATACAGTGGGGAGATTTTATTTACAGAGAACATGAAACAATGGGTGTTACCATACACACTGTAACGAGAGTGATCACGTAAGGTGAGCTATTACCAGCGGGGGGGGGGGGGGGGGGGAAATAAAAACCTTTTATAGTCATAATCAAGGTGGGCCATTTCCAGCAGTTGACAAGAATGTGTGAGGAACAGTAAGCGGGGGGGAGGGGGGGAATAAACATGGGGAAATAGCTTTACTTTGTGTAATGACACATCCACTCCCAGTCTTTATTCAAGCCGAAATTAATTGTATCCAGTTTGCAAATTAATTCCAATTCAGCAGTCTCTCATTGGAGTCTGTTTCTGAAGTTTTTTTGTTGAAGAATTGCCACTTTTAGGTCTGTAATCGAGTGATGTTCTCTGACTTGTTTTTGAATGTTATAATTCTTGACGTCTGATTTGTGTCCATTTATTCTTTTACGTAGAGACTGTCCAGTTTGGCCAATGTACATTGCTGGCACATGATGGCATATATCACATTGGTAGATGTCCAGGTGTACGAGCCTCTGATAGTGTGGCTGATGTGATTAGGCCAAAAGGATTTTTTTTCAGTCTCCTGCTGGTAATAGCTCACTTACCTAATCACTCTCGTTACAGTGTGTATGGTAACACCCATTGTTTCATGTTCTCTGTATATACAAAATCTCCCCACTGTATTTTCCACTGCATGCATCCAATGAAGTGGGTGGTAGCTCACAAAAGCTTATGCTCAAATAAATTTGTTAGTCTCTAAGGTGCCACAAGTACTCCTTTTCTTTTTACTCCTAATTTCAGTTTATTGTCTCACTTGTGGTTTTGTACAGCTTCGTGTTTAAAATTAATTTTGTTAGCAAAAAATTGCAGAGCTCAATGCTTAGTCTTGATGTCAGCAAATTAATTGAAGTTACTCTGACAGAAATACTGAATTATTGTGAAAAAGGACTTGAAGAGACATTGTTAATTGCTAAACAGATAGCAGAAGACATATCACTGCCTGTGGAACTAGCTGAAACATGAGCCAGCAAAAAACAAACAAGTCATTTGCGCAATGCAGAAAAGAGATTTAAATTTGATTTCTTCAGCATTGCTATAGACACTGCTCTCATGAAGCTGTGAGAACATTTTTAATTATTGCAAGAGAACATGAATGTGTTTGCATTCCTGTGTAATGTAAAATTGGAAAAATTGATCAGTAACCTGGAATCAAATCTGATGGGTTGTGGTGACAGTATTGTGGAAGTAGACATGTACAACCTGGTACATGAACTCCAGAGTCTTTCTGGTGTTTTCCCAAAACCTAAGGATGCATTAGACACTTCAATTAATTTCCAGGTGCGGTTTGTCCACGATGTATCCAAACACGTGTATTGCTCTACAAGTGTGTCTTACAGCTCCAATTTCTGTGGCACTTACAGAAAGAAGTTTCTCAAAGCTTAAATTAATAAAAACTTATCTGAGGTCAGCCATGTCTCAAGAACATTTGGAAGGACTAGTTATATTGTCCATAGAAAGTGACATTTGCAAGACACTATCCTTCAAGGATGTGATAGATTATGAAAGAATTTGTCAATAGAGCACTCCATTACTCAGCATAAACAAGGTAAGGAAAACACTCATTAAACTTTTTTCCCCGTAGTAATCCACTGACAAGAGTAATATGCAACAGGGAATTTATTTGTTTAGCTTTGAAGGTATTTGCAGCCAATTACTAGTTGTGGATTTCTGTATGTCATTATCTGCATACTTTGATTAAACTGGTAATTGAATATTATGTTCACTCACTGGGGGCATCTAAACTTCTGTATACAACACTGTTTTTTGATAAAGAACTTGCACCTGCCAATAACTCACTGATCAACCCTTTGTATGACTCAGCCGGCTAGAGATGTACAGGAAAATGGCACCAAATCATGCCCTGACCAGTGCTAGAAGGGTCAACAGGAGCACTGCTGAGTAAGGCCACAGCAAGATGGGCTGGCAGGTTTCCATAGAGACAGGCAGTGATGAGCAAGAGGAATTTGCAGAACTAATTGGCACTTGCTGCAGACTGAAGTATATCACTACCTGGCTAGGGAGCTGGGTACATACCTGCCAATCATGCCTACCTGTCGATATGGTTCCTTAGCCAGGATCCTCATATGTACCTATGTTTCAAGTTTTGTGGAGTTAAGTGATTTGTTGGGATGGCTACAGGGAGAAACAGAAATGTTAGGCAATTTGAAAATTTTAAAAATTAAAGGCTTTTAATCTCAAAAAAGTGCCTCAAAATTCTCTATATTTTTTTCAGAACTGACACTAATGGTGAATGAGTCTTAGCACTAGGCATTTAAGAGCATGAGGTCATTTTGTTTTTGTAAGAGTCAGCCACAGCTGCTGAGGAATCAGAATTCAAATAAAATAAAAGAAAGCAAAACAAAGGGAGCACAGTTGCTTTTTGATTCTGTAGAGGTGGAATATTTATTTGAGAGTCTGCAGGGCTGATTTGCTTGGCCTCCTTGATATTTGTTTTTCAGTAACATATTTTGGACTCTAGAATTTTTATTTTTTGCAATGGCAAACCTCTATTCAGAGTTTAATAATCATCTTCATACCAAATGTTCTCCCTGAGTATATTCACAGACTTAGGTGACATAGCCATAATAAGTGTCTAAAGCTTGAATGACCCATTTACTTGTGAGGATATTATTGTGCAACCTGTCACCCTGCATTCTCTGGATAGTAACCTAGCTATCTACAGTAGGCACAATCTTATTTAATGGATTGGTCCTCACAGCTCCTCTGTGAAGTAGAGAACTGCTATTACCACTATTTTACAGATGGGAAACTAAGGCATAAAGAGTCTCACTGATTTGCCCAAGGTTGCACAGGAAGTCTGTGGCAAGGCAGGGAATTGAATCTAGTCCCAAGCTAGTGCCCTAATCATGGCCCGCCCTTTCTGTCTGTCCTAAAGATATAGTTTAGCTATAGTTTGAGTATAAACCACTTAATCAACCAGAAATTCCATAGGCAAATGTGGAGAAAAGATAATACCCACACAAAATTGACTGTTTCATTGCATTGTTTCTACCAGTAAATAATTAAAGTTCTTTTTCAAATAGGTACTTTTGGAAAGGACATTATTGCCTGGCAGGTAAAGCAGGGAATCTATGGGTAGGAGCACATAAGAAATATTTCAGCTCCTGTCTAATATCATTATACTAAATTGCTAAAGAAATATATTGTTTTAGAATATTATCATCATTATCTGAACATGATACTGTTGTTTTTTCTTGTTGATTTTACAGCCAGATTTTAAAGGTGAGCGGTGTTGCCATTTTAGAAGATAAGCACTCCTAAGTGCATAGAGCTATGCAAACTGGTTATCTCAAAGGGATTAAGATGGAGCTGCATGGCAGAGTGAGTACACAGAGCTAGGTAGCAAGGAGCACTGAGACCAGGCTTTCCCAGCTGAAATGCTGACTAGTTCACAATTGAGAATGGTTTCAGTTGTTTCATCATGGCCTATTGCGGATGCTTTGTGTCACACAATCAGACACTGTTGGCAGTTTATGCTTAAGAGATAAAAACTGCAGGGCCATTGTTGGTCACACTTAAAGAGAGCTGGTAAAGCTGTGCAGGGAAAACTTTCACAGCATATGCCAAGTACCATTGTTATTCATGGCCAAAGCCAGTGTCATTTGAAACTCACTTCCAGGAGCCGTAAATTCAGCCCCAATCCTTAATAAAGCAAAAAGATAATTACAGCACCCTGTAACATTTTGCAACATCAGTTCTTCAAGTGAAAATGTCAAATCTAGGAGTTGTCTTATGATTGAAATTTGGGGTTGCCAGCCATTACATTGATTTTCAAGAGTGAAATAATACAGTAGCAAACCACAACTGCCTTTCTCACCTTCACATGGGGAAGCAACAACTTCCATGACTTCAGGAATTTCCAACCTTGTCCATCTCCATGGCAGTGCATTCTCCAGAGAGTCGTATACAGACAGAAGAAAAGGAGTACTTGTGGCACCTTAGAGACTAACCAATTTATTTGAGCATAAGCTTTCGTGAGCTACAGCTCACTTCATCGGATGCATACTGTGGAAAATACAGAAGATGTTTTTATACACACAAACCATGAAAAAATGGGTGTTTATCACTACAAAAGGTTTTCTCTCCCCCCACCCCACTCTCCTGCTGATAATAGCTTATGTAAAGTGATCACTCTCCTTACAATGTGTATGATAATCAAGGTAGGCCATTTCCAGCACAAATCCAGGTTTTCTCCCCACCCCACCCCCCCACACAAACCCACTCTTCTGTTGGTAATAGCTTATCTAAAGTGACCACTCTCCTTACAATGTGTATGATAATCAAGGTGGGCCATTTCCAGCACAAATCCAGGGTTTAACAAGAACGTCTGAGGAACGGGGGGGGGGGGGGGGGGGGGGGGTGGTAGGAAAAAACAAGGGGAAATAGGTTACCTTGCATAATGACTTAGCCACTCCCAGTCTCTATTCAAGCCTAAGTTAATTGTATCCAATTTGCAAATGAATTCCAATTCAGCAGTCTCCCGCTGGAGTCTGGTTTTGAAGTTTTTCTGTTGTAATATCGCAACTTTCATGTCTGTAATCGCCTGACCAGAGAGATGGAAGTGTTCTCCGACTGGTTTATTTTTTTTTATTTTTTTTTTTATTTTTTTTTAATTTCTTTTTGCGAATACAGACTAACACGGCTGTGTCATAAATATAAAGGGAAGGGTAAACCCCTTTGAAATCCCTCCTGGCTAGGGGAAAGCTCCTCTCACCTGTAAAGGGTTAAGAAGCTAAAGGTAACCTCGCTGGCACCTGACCAATGAGGAGACAAGATACTTTCAAAAGCTGGGAGGAGGGAGAAAAACAAAGGGTCTGTGTGGAATGGAGTCTTAGAACTTTTAGTAAGTAATCTAGCTAGGTATGTGTTAGATTATGATTTCTTTAAATGGCTGAGAAAAGAATTGTGCTGAACAGAATAACTATTTCTGTCTGTGTATCTTTTTTGTAACTTAAGGTTTTGCCTAGAGGGGTTCTCTATGTTTTTGAATCTAATTACCCTGTAAGATATCTACCATCCTGATTTTACAGGGGGGATTTCTTTATTTCTATTTACTTCTATTTTTATTAAAAGTCTTCTTGTAAGAAACTGAATGCTTTTTCATTGTTCTCAGATCCAAGGGTTTGGGTCTGTGGTCACCTATGCAAATTGGTGAGGCTTTTTACCAAACCTTGTCCAGGAAGTGGGGTGCAAGGTTTTGGGAAGTATTTTGGGGGGGAAAGACGCGTCCAAACAGCTCTTCCCCAGTAACCAGTATTAGTTTGGTGGTGGTAGCGGCCAATCCAAGGACGACGGGTGGAATATTTTGTACCTTGGGGAAGTTTTGAGCTAAGCTGGTAAAGATAAGCTTAGGAGGTTTTTCATGCAGGTCCCCACATCTGTACCCTAGAGTTCAGAGTGGGGGAGGAACCTTGACATGGTGGCATAGTGGTGGGATTAACCTGAAATCATTTTGAGATCCAGTTGAGATTTTTTGAACTAGAAATACAGATTTTAAAAAGGAATTTTTTTTTTCCTTTGGAAAGGAAGTCCAGAAAGCAGCTGAAACTGAAAGCAGCTTGTTTTTTCTCTGCTTTGTGGCCAAGCAGAGACAAAAGGGGATTATCTTTGTGAATTGCAGGTTTTCTTTGCCTGGAGGCAGGGTACTTAACTCCTGCAGGGAAATTCACAGTCTTCCAACCCAGAGTTTTTTTTTTCTTTTCTTCCTAAAAGTAAATAGGGGGTGTGTGTTCTACCCATTTGCTTTTTCTTTGGGCTGGGTAAGCAGGTTTCCAAGTAGTTGGAAGTTTTTTGCTTTAATTTGGGCCCAGAGCAGAGACAAGGGAATTGTCTTTTTCTGTAGGCTGACAATCACTATCAGAGAATAGGTATTCTATTCCAGCACAGCAAAATTTTACAGCCAAGTTTTGTTTGTTTATTTCTAAACCTCGGGTGTAAAGTTAGTTAAAAACAGAGAGGTTAGAATGACCAAATCCGCAGCTCGACTACAGCTGGAATTAGCCAAATTTCATGCTGAGAAATAACAAAGGGAACATGAAAGACAGATAGAACTCATGCGGCTGAAGAAGGAGGAGAAGGAAGAAGAGAGGAAGCATGTGAAGGAGGAGAAGGAAAAAGAGAGGAAGCATGTGGAGGAGATGGAGAGGATAAAGGCCCAGCAGAATATACCAACAAACCCTAGCAATCCTTCTCCAGGTACCACTTCCCATCCCAGAAAGTTCCCCACCTACAAGGCAGGTGATGATACTGAGGCCTTCTTAGAAAACTTCGAAAGGGCCTGCCTTGGGTACAACATCTCTACTGACCAATACATGGTAGAGCTGAGGCCGCAGCTCAGTGGACCCTTAGCTGAGGTGGCAGCTGAAATGCCTAAAGAACACATGAACAAGTATGAACTGTTTAAATCCAAGGCGAGAGTCAGAATAGGGATAACACCCGAGCAGTCTCGTCGGAGGTTCAGAGCCCTAAGGTGGAAACCAGACATGTCATTTACCCGACATGCCTACCACATTGTGAAACATTGGGATGCCTGGATATCAGGAGCAAGTGTTGAATCTCCAGAACATTTGCCCTTCCTAATGCAAATGGAACAATTCTTAGAGGGTGTTCCTGAGGAAATAGAAAGATACATCCTAGATGGGAAACCCAAAACTGTAATCGAGGCAGAAGAGATTGGAGCCAGATGGGTGGAGGTGGCAGAGAAGAAGAAAACTGGTCGCAGTTGGAGCGGAGACCAGAAGGGACAACCCCAGACCACACCCTATTACCGGGGGCCGCCCAAAGCCCCACCTACCTCCCAAAGAACCCTCCAGACCCCTTATCGTCCCACCAACCCATTCTCCAGCAACCCTCCTCGCCCCAGTGACCCGTCAGCTGGGCGATGTTTTAAATGTAACGAGCTGGGGCATGTAAAGGCCAACTGCCCCAAGAACCCCAACAGATTACAGTTCATTGCACCGGAATCACACCAGAGGTCCACAGGCCCAGATACCTCCCAGATACCCTTGGAGCGGAGGGAAACTGTGAGTGTGGGCGGGAAGAAGGTCACCACGTGGAGGGACACCGGAGCACAAGTGTCAGCTATCCATGCTTCCTTAGTGGACCCCAATTTAATCAACCCAGAGATCCAAATGACGATTCAACCCTTCAAGTCCAACTCTTTCAATTTGCCTACAGCCAAGTTGCCTGTCCAGTACAAGAGCTGGTCAGGAATGTGGACTTTTGCAGTCTATGATGATTATCCCATCCCCATGCTGTTGGGGGAAGACTTGGCCAATCATGTGAAGCATGCCAAGAGGGTGGGAACGGTCACCCGCAGCCAGGCTAAACAAGCCGTGAGGCCTAGCTCTGTTCCGGAAACTTCTATCAGGACCCGGTCAGAGGTGATGGACCCGGACCCCAGGCCAATGTCTGCAACAGCAGTAGTGGATCCAGTCCCAGAGACCCAGACGGAACCAGTCCCAGAACCGGAACCAGCCGAACAACCAACACCAGACCCCGTGTCAGCACTGAATCCAGTACTTGCAACCTCAACACCAGAGGGTCCCACCGAACCTGAACTGGCAGCAGCCGATAACCCTACACAAGAGGCTCAGCTGGAGCCTGAATCCCAACATAGTGCACCAGCGGAGAGCGGTTCACAGTCAACAGAAACAGCTCCATCCCCTATATCGCTTCCAGAGGGACCAAGCCTAGGTCCACAATCCAATGAGGGACTGATGTCTCCAGCATCAAGGGAACAGTTCCAGACCGAACAGGAAGCAGATGAAAGCCTCCAGAGAGTTTGGATGGCGGCACGGAGCAACCCACCGCCTCTCAGCTCTTCTAATCGATCCAGGTTTGTTGTAGAAAGAGGACTTTTATACAAGGAAACTCTTTCTGGGGGACACCAGGAAGACTGGCATCCTCAGAGACAGTTGGTAGTTCCAACTAAATACCGGGCCAAGCTCTTGAGCTTAGCCCATGATCACCCTAGTGGCCATGCTGGGGTGAACAGGACCAAAGACCGTTTGGGAGGGTCATTCCACTGGGAGGGAATGGGCAAGGATGTTTCTACCTATGTCCTGTCTTGTGAGGTGTGCCAAAGAGTGGGAACATCCCAAGACCAGGTCAAAGCCCCTCTCCAGCCACTCCCCATCATTGAAGTTCCATTTCAGCGAGTAGCTGTGGATATTCTGGGTCCTTTTCCGAAAAAGACACCCAGAGGAAAGCAGTACATACTGACTTTCATGGATTTTGCCACCCGATGGCCGGAAGCAGTAGCTCTAAGCAACACCAGGGCTAAAAGTGTGTGCCAGGCACTAGCAGACATTTTTGCCAGGGTAGGTTGGCCCTCCGACATCCTCACCGATGCAGGGACTAATTTCCTGGCAGGAACTATGAAAAACCTTTGGGAAGCTCCTGGGGTAAATCACTTGGTTGCCACTCCTTACCACCATCAAACAAATGGCATGGTGGAGAAGTTTAATGGAACTTTGGGGGCCATGATACATACATTCGTAAATGAGCACTCCAATGATTGGGACCTAGTGTTGCAGCAGTTGCTCTTTGCCTACAGAGCTGTACCACATCCCAGTTTAGGGTTTTCCCCATTTGAACTTGTATATGGCCGTGAGGTTAAGGGGCCATTGCAGTTGGTGAAGCAGCAATGGGAGGGATTTACACCTTCTCCAGGAACTAACATTCTGGACTTTGTAACCAACCTACAAAACACCCTCCAAACCTCTTTAGCCCTTGCTAGAGAAAACTTACAGGATGCTCAAAAAGAGCAAAAAGCCTGGTATGATAAACATGCCAGAGAGCGTTCCTTCAAAGTAGGAGACCAGGTCATGGTCTTAAAGGCGCTCCAGGCCCATAAAATGGAAGCATCGTGGGAAGGGCCATTCACGGTCCAGGAGCGCCTGGGAGCTGTTAATTATCTCATAGCATTCCCCACCTCCAACCGAAAGCCTAAGGTGTACCATATTAATTCTCTAAAGCCCTTTTATTCCAGAGAATTAAAGGTTTGTCAGTTTACAGCCCACGGAGGAGACGACGCTGAGTGGCCCGAAGGTGTCTACTAAGAAGGGAAATGTGGTGGTGGTGTGGAAGAGGTGAACCTCTCCATGACCCTTGGGCGTATGCAGCGACAGCAGATCCAGGAGCTGTGCACTAGCTACGCGCCAACGTTCTCAGCCACCCCAGGACTGACTGAACAGGCATACCACTCCATTGACACAGGTAATGCTCACCCAATTAGGGTCCAACCTTACTGGGTGTCTCCTCAAGCTAAAACTGCTATAGAACGGGAGATCCAGGATATGTTATAGATGGGTGTAATCCGCCCCTCTGAAAGTGCATAGGCATCTCCAGTGGTTCTAGTTCCCAAACCAGATGGGGAAATACGTTTTTGCGTGGACTACCGTAAGCTAAATGCTGTAACTCGCCCAGACAACTATCCAATGCCAGGCACAGATGAACTATTAGAGAAACTGGGACGGGCCCAGTTCATCTCTACCTTGGACTTAACCAAGGGGTATTGGCAGGTACCGCTAGATGAATCTGCCAAGGAAAGGTCAGCCTTCACCACACATCTCGGGCTGTATGAATTTAATGTACTCCCTTTCGGGCTGCGAAATGCACCCGCCACTTTCCAAAGACTTGTAGATGGTCTCCTAGCGGGATTAAGAGAATATGCAGTCGCCTACCTTGACGATGTGGCCATATTTTCGGATTCCTGGGCAGACCACCTGGAACATCTACAAAAAGTCCTTGAGCGCATAAGGGAGGCAGGACTAACTGTTAAGGCTAAGAAGTGTCAAATAGGCCTAAACAGAGTGACTTACCTTGGACACCAGGTGGGTCAAGGAACTATCAGCCCCCTACAGGCCAAAGTGGATGCTATTCAAAAGTGGCCTGTCCCAAAGTCAAAGAAACAGGTTCAATCCTCCTTAGGCTTGGCCGGTTATTACAGACGATTTGTACCGCACTACAGCCAAATCGCTGCCCCACTAACAGACCTAACCAAAAAGAAACAGCCAAATGCTGTTCAGTGGACCGGAAAGTGTCAGAAGGCCTTTAACAAGCTTAAAGTGACACTCATGTCTGACCCTGTACTAAGGGCCCCAGACTTTGACAAACCGTTCCTAGTAACCACAGATGCGTCCGAGCGTGGTGTGGGAGCAGTTTTAATGCAGAAAGGACCTGATCAAGAATTCCACCCTGTAGTGTTTCTCAGCAAAAAACTGTCTGAGAGGGAAAGCAACTGGTCAGTCACTGAAAAAGAATGTTATGCCATTATCTACGCTCTGGAAAAGCTACGCCCATATGTTTGGGGACGGCGTTTGCACCTGCAAACCGACCATGCTGCACTGAAGTGGCTTCACACCGTCAAGGAAACTAACAAAAAACTTCTTCGGTGGAGTTTAGCTCTCCAAGATTTTGATTTCGACATCCAACACATCTCAGGAGCTTCTAACAAAGTGGCTGATGCACTCTCCTGTGAAAGTTTCCCAGAATCAACTGGTTAAAATCGTCCTTGAGATGTGGAAAATATTGTTAGTCTTTATGTACTTGGTAGTATATTTAGAGATGCATGTGTCTTATTAACTCTGTTTTTCCTAGAGCTCCAGGAAGAAATCCCAGCCAGTGTTCCACCCTAGCTGAGATTTGGGGGGCGTGTCATAAATATAAAGGGAAGGGTAAACCCCTTTGAAATCCCTCCTGGCCAGGGGAAAGCTCCTCTCACCTGTAAAGGGTTAAGAAGCTAAAGGTAACCTCGCTGGCACCTGACCAAAATGACCAGTGAGGAGACATGATACTTTCAAAAGCTGGGAGGAGCGAGAGAAACAACGGGTCTGTGTGTCTGTCTATAGTCTGTCTTTGTCGGGGATAGACCAGGAATGGAGTCTTAGAACTTTTAGTAAGTAATCTAGCTAGGTATGTGTTAGATTATGATTTCTTTAAATGCCTGAGAAAAGAATTGTGCTGAATAGAATAACTATTTCTGTCTGTGTATCTTTTTTGTAACTTAAGGTTTTGCCTAGAAGGGTTCTCTATGTTTTTTAATCTAATTACCCTGTAAGATATCTACCATCCTGATTTTACAGGGAGGATTTCTTTATTTCTATTTACTTCTATTTTTATTAAAAGTCTTCTTGTAAGAAACTGAATGCTTTTTCATTGTTCTCAGATCCAAGGGTTTGGGTATGTGGTCACCTATGCAAATTGGTGAGGCCTTTTACCAAACCTTGTCCAGGAAGTGGGGTGCAAGGTTTTGGGAAGTATTTGGGGGGGAAAGACGCGTCCAAACAGCTCTTCCCCAGTAACCAGTATTAGTTTGGTGGTGGTAGCGGCCAATCCAAGGACGACGGGTGGAATATTTTGTACCTTGGGGAAGTTTTGAGCTAAGCTGGTAAAGATAAGCTTAGGAGGTTTTTCATGCAGGTCCCCACATCTGTACCCTAGAGTTCAGAGTGGGGGAGGAACCTTGACAGGCTGTTACTCTGAAACAGACAGAAGAGAACCTTTCTAGTCCATTGCCTAGACGGAAAGACCACTGAATAGTCCATGCAAAGACCATTGTAGAAACCTTTAAGCAGGCCATGAAGGATTCCGGGTGCATTTTTGATCTCATCATAGCATTGTCCCATTAAAACCAGGTGAGTTTGCCGCCCCTTATGAAGGATCATTCCATATGCCTTGGAAGGAAATTATCGAAGTTAGGTTATTAGAGAAAACAAAGTGCTAGTCTACACTACAAAGGTTTTGCCAGTAAAGTTATACTGGTATAGTTGTACCAACAGAGCCCCCAACAGAGATGCAACTTACACCAGCAAAAGAAGTTATTTTGCTGTGTAATTAAACCACCTCCCCAAACAACATAAGCTATATCAGCATATAGACTCTTTTTTTCAGTCAGAGCTGCATCTACACCATGGGTTTTACCAGCTTAGCTATGCCAGGTTGGTGAGAGGTTATTTCAGAACCGTGACTAACATAGCTATGCCCAGAAAACTTCGTAGTGTAGATCTGGTTCCAATCTCCTCTGATAAGGTAGCATCTCCACTTGCAGGAATGTGCTTGACTCAAGATAAGGTATGACAGATACGGCAATATCCTGCAATATCCTTGGGAGTCCTTACTGAATTAAGTTTAAATATCTTTGGGGTCCATTGCAATAAATGAATGGTATTAATGTGGGCAGGGATTATATGTAACCTCTCTGGGGGAGAGATATGATGTAAGGCCTGGATGATTGAAGGAGTCTATTGAACAATGTGCCAACAAGAATGGATTTTTCAGGACAATAGTATGGAGTGGATTTCCTGGGAAATACTGAGAGATAGAGGCTAATGCAAATTCCCCACCTGTGGTTATGCAAAAATCCTGCCTTGTGAAGCTATGCTTTGAGGAGCCGGTCTTTGTCCGCTGCCCAAAATTGTGACATAAAGTACTTCACTTTAAGCATCCTGTCAGAAACAACAATGCAGCATGTTATAGGCCTTCTAGAACACTCAACATAACTAAATTAAACTAACACTCCCTTGTAGTTATCCATATTTTTCAATTAAAAGTGTCATAAGCAGAAAAAAGATCAAAGCCCTTTAAGGCCTTTACAAACACATGTAAACAAAGTAATGTGTTTATCCCTATTTTATCATGACTCTTGTTGCAACAGCCTAAAATATTAATACTGTTGATATATCAAACACCAAGGAACCTATGGGCTTAGTGAATCCAGACATATGAGATATCAAAATGATTTCAGTTCCCTATATGATTTTAGAAAGTCTTTAATTAAAGTCAATATGACCATTTCAGGGTTACCGAAGGGGTACAGGATGAATCGCTACTGCTTGCTTTTAGCATGGGGGGGAGACTTGTCTGTGCCCCCTGGGGGAAACCCACCCACAACTACCAATTGCTAGAAATACAGTAGCCCCATTCAGTGCTCCACAAGCCCCTCTCTTTTTCTCTGCAGGCTAATTATTTGAACCCCTCTAGCCCTTAGGCTCCCTAAGTGAGTCATTGGGGCAGAGCAGAAAGAACCCGTGTCTAAATCTATGGAGATACTTAGCCCCTAGAGTTCTGCTCTGGCTCAGAAGCAGACGTCCCTCTAACCTATCTGTACAATCCACTTCACTGAACTCAAGTGCCCAGTCTCTTGACTTCTGGACTCCTGCAGTGCACACAGATTCACTGTCTCCATGGAAGCAGTGCCTCCAGTTCAGTAGGCTCATTTTGAAGACGGTGATCACAGGGGAAACATGCCTGTCTGGACATGTCTGGGCAAGTCCCCAGGTATAGACTCATACCTTTGTACCCACATCTGTTGCTAACTTGGGGCACTGGGATCACAGTAAGATAATTAAAATAAGTCACCTGGTCTTTTCCACTGCCTTAACTGATATCACAAATAAGAATCCACTAGTGCAAATAAGAAAAGAGTTTACAAACAGCTGGTAGGTTTTAGCATTTCACTTAAAATAACTTCATACAAAACAAATTAATGAGTAATGTGGAAAGAGTCATAATAAATTAATATATCTAATTAGAGCCAACCTCAATGAGATTACATTAAAATCTCATTTTGTTCTATTAAAAATTCAATAAAACTGTGCCAATTAAATTAAGCAATCAGTAAGAACATGTAGATTTACTTGAAGTTTCATCTATTTTATCTGGTTATTAGAAGTCATTTTTAACAGCCTGTTGACAATGCTCCTCTCCACAGTGCTGCAGTGAGTATCAGGTGTCAGCTTTCAAATCTACATGGACAAATCATCCTCGCATTGCCATTTAGCACATCTGCTTCTGCAGGTAATTGAGTTCTCATAGGAAGCACACTACTTGTAACAGTGTGGGAGAGAACATTTTGGGGGGGGGTAATTGAATTTCAAGATAAACTGAAATACAGCATAAAGCCATAAAAATGTAATTAGAAAGATACATGTGCTCTCAGCTTGTAGATTAACCCAACAGAACAAACTGATTCATATTTCTATTTTCATTTTACAGTCTGCTAGTAAAGGGGTGGTTCACATTCTGGAACTACTACTCTTAAGTGTCCTCCCTTCAGCAGCGTTTTCCCATGGAACATCATTGAAAATGGATCAGGGCACCTTTATGGCTCAGAGTCCACCTCACACTTTTCAGCTGTTCTTGCTCGTTATAAAACATCATTAGAATATGGTATCTGAGGTACAAGCATAAAATAACATGGCTTTAGACATCTTTTCTATAGAATAGCGGAAACATGAAACTGTCATGTCAGTTGTCTCGTTGCTCTCGATCAATATCTTTACATTATCTTGGGATCTGTGACAACTGAGAACAGAATTTGGTTCAGGGTAAGTGACTGGTCTCCATCCAAGAGTCCTCCTCATGGCCTTCATTTATGATACTGAATATCAGAGGCTGGTGGATCAGGTTACATTTAGAAGTTGTCCTTCATGGGGTTGATTGTCAGGAGTGGCTTCTCTCTGCCCATTTGCTGGTGAAGTCTTCAGGTGGCAACTGGTGACCTGTCCTTCCTTCACTAATGAAGCACTTAGGTGCAAGTAGCATCTAATAATCATTCCACTAGGCACTGCTTGTGATTAGAGCAGGTCGAAAAAACTTTGAACCATTTCCCTTCAGAGAATGCAATTAGTTGAAGTTTCAACTTGGTGTGAAATTATGCCCATTTTGCTAAATTTTTGTTTAGGAGAAAAAAAACAGGAAGAAAGTTCTGACAAAGTCAAAATGTTGCATTTCAACATTTTCCAAATGAAACATTTCAATTTTTGTTTTGAAATGACTGTTTAGGATATTTTTATTTTGTATTATTGGCAATATAAATTTTAAAAGAGTCTGAACTGAAACAAGTCATTTGTTAAAAAGAAGCATTTTGATTTTTTTCTGATTTTTCTCACTGCAACTTTCAAAATGTATAGGTTTTCCCCGAATCAGAACAAAGACAAATATTTAAATCTCAAAATCCTTTTTGAAATGGAATTTCCATCCTCCATACAACTCTACTTGTGATATGTATAGCTGTGGATTGAAGGGAGACATTGTCATTGTGCTTTCTATGTACTGCTACTTTTAAATGTAAAGGAGACTCCCTAAAGAGGCAACTCTCAGTTTGTATTGGTGTTCAGATGTGGAATATTATACACTGAATCGCTGTGATCTCTGTCACACATGCTGTTGCATGGAGACTCCTTACTTCTCTGTTGTTTTCTTCAATCTGAAATCTATCCAGATATACAGGGTTTGGCATTGTAGTATGGGAAAACATAAATTTTGAAATACTGTTCAGAAGTGTTAACAGCACGTTGGGACTTCCCTTCAACTTATGCAGTATGCCACATGATTCTTAAATCCCAGACCTCAGGAATCCCCTCCTTGCTTCCCTGCCCATGAGATTAGAAGCTCTCAAGAAAGCAAGAGAAACAGGACCTGTTTTATAAACATATATTTGAACAGCTTTTATAAACACAATATTTTACAAAGAAATAGGCATTCCAGGTCTATCTGCCATTTTAGTGCAGTGCATTTACTACATGTTATTAATTTGGGGCCACTGGGCCAATCATATAAACCTATGTGAAATCGTTTTTTAGAAGGTGGATTTGTGATCCAGCATGCCATAGTGCCTCCTTTGGATCTTTTAAGCACATAATACCTCATAAACATATTGTAACAACCTGTAGCATAAAGCCACTGCTGCGGTAGCTGACATTCAAAGCATTAATACCCCACCTGGTTTACATTTTTAAAATGTATTAAAAGGGCTTTGTCTGCATTAGAGACTGAAAAAAAAAAATCTCTCTTTTTTTAAAAAAAAAACATACAGGTTGAATTATAGGAGCACAAAAATAAATTTGAAACTAGCAGAGATTAGTTTAATGGGGATTAGATCTGGATTTTTAAAACATGGAACCAAAGAGTTTCTTAGCTCAGACTCATCACTGAGATACTAGTAGAAAAAAATTTAATTAAAAAAAATATATATGCAGGAATTTATTAATAAAAGGTATTGAAAGGCTGACATTCACATGTTAGGGTACAACTTAGACTAAATTTCTATGGTTATATTGCATAGAGATTTAAAATGCAAACTTGACAGCCCCTTGAGTCTAGAAAAAACTATACAATACCACACTAACGTTGAGAGCATTTGGGAAGGAGTAACCCAGGCATTAGGATAAATAGTTCCTCTCTCTCTTTTCTTGGCATTTTGGATTAATTTCTCTTTACATTCTCCTTGCCATGACAAATTATATTAAGTTATATCACTTTAAGACAATCCCACCAAAAACCGTATAGAGTAATTTAGGGTGTGCTGTGTAGATGAGGGCAGGATTCTAAATTGAATACATTGGTATCCTTAAAATCAGTAGCCCAGTCCAGCATTTATGGGATTTTTCATGCTTTACATTAGTGGGGATTTTGATGCTCAAGGATGCAGAATCAGGCCCAAGTGAATTAAATTTGGTTAAAAAAAAAAAGAAAGGGATGGTATCAAGTTTAGCATTCCATTTCAAGGACAAATACTAGTGTAATGTCACTACCATATCACATTGCAAAGAAGAGAGTAAACAATTAAAAACCTGTCAAATAAATTAAAAACTAATAATCGTAAAAGGAAGCTGACACTTTGGTATGCTATTGCTTGGCCAACTGCTAGACACTGTTAAATTAGCCAAAACATTTTTTAAAAAATAGATCTCACCTTAAAATGACCATGAGCTTCTTTGCTTTCCTAGGTGCAAGCGCTTTCCCCCTGAGACCTACTCTTCATCATCATTTGTATTATCATTAAATGGATTTTACACACCATTGACATCTGGAGAGATAATGCAATGATCACAGGGATTCTGAACACTGTTTTGAAATATCATTTTTCAAAATACGCAATATTTTTAGACAATATTTAATCACTGTTTTTTTTCTGTTAGGGAAAAGATATTCTCTGTTTTTCATTCCTACCATCCTAAGGAAGTGAATTACTATGAGACTAAGGTAAGTCAAATACATATTTATCCTTGATTTATACAAAGTGGTATATAGACAATCAATAATTTACACCATTTACTACATTATTTAGCTTATACCTTGCTCCCCATATTGTAGCTACAAATATGGTAACCCTGCTACAGCCTATTGCCTGATGGATCACCCATAGCAAGCTCATATCCTCATGACATTTAGAGGATTTAGAATATCACCTAGGAATACTGCATTAATTACCTGAGTTATATGTGGAAAGATAGAAGAGTTTGGGTTCAATAAAAATCCTGACCCATGTAAATGTAATTCAAAACATATATTGCCAGAACAACTTTCTGATCTGCAAAAGAAGAAGAAAAGGCTGAATAAACCGATCAACATAGCATGTGATTTTAGCATTCAATTATACTTTGAAAATCCAAATCTATCATGTACTCCTAAGTGTGATAAAACTTTGATTGTTCTAACAGATGCTGCTGATATTAGATTTGAGGTAGTGCTGTCTCACATAATGAAGGGATAAAAACATCTACTGGTATATATAAGCAATAAACTTATCTTACTATAGGGAAAGAGTGTGCTCAGCCTTTAAAAAGAAAGGTATATTTAAATTCTTTCCATTAGTAGATTTTTTTCAAAGTTTTCCTTTAGATTCCTCTTCCACCCCATCAAACTGAAAAGGTCATTTTAATATAGTCATTTATTCTGCCTCTCTTTCTGGTCCCTTTCACTGAATTCAATGGAGATACACCAGTATAAAAGTCAATGTAGCAGAAAAGAGAAACAGATTCAATTCACAAATTTTAAGGCCAGAAGGGACCATTATGATCATTTAGTCTAACCTCTTGCATAGCACAAGCCATAAGACTACCACAAATTAATTTCTGTTTCAAGTCCACTAGCTGTGGTTGGGCTAGAGGATATCTTTTAGGAAAAAAATCCCGTCTTGATTTTAAAATTGCCAGCGATAGAGAAAAGGAGTACTTGTAGCACCTTAGAGCTTTCATGCTTATGCTCAAATAAATTGGTTAGTCTCTAAGGTGCCACAAGTACTCCTTTTCTTTTTGCGAAAACAGACTAACACGGCTGTTACTCTGAAACCAGCGATAGAGAATCCACCACAACCCTAGATAAATTGTTCTAGTGGTTAATTACGCTCATTGTTAAAAATGTGTCTTATTTCTAGTCTGAATTTCATAGAATTATAGAAATGTAGGTCTGGAAGGGAACTCGAGAAGTCATCAAATCCAGCTCCCTGCACTGTTGTAGGACCAAGGAAACCTAGACTACCCCGACAGGTTCTTAAAAGCTTCCAATGATGGGGACTCTACAACCTTTCAGCTGTAGAGTCCTTTCAGTTAGAAAGTTTTTCTTAATATCTAACCTCAATCTCCCTTGCTGCAGATTAAGCCTGTTACTTCTTGTCCTACTTTCAGTGGACATGGAGAACAATTGAGCATCCTCTTTATAACAGCCTTTAACATATTTGAAGCTTGTTATCAGATCCCTCCTCAGTCTTCTTTTCTCAAGACTAAGCATGCCAAGTTTTTTTTAATCTTTTCTCATAAGGTCAAGTTTTCTAAACCTCTAATAATTTTTTTTGTTCTCCTCTGGATTCTTTCCAATTTGTCCACATCTTTCCTAAATTGTGGTGCCCAGAATTGATTTTGTCTAGCTTCAACTGCCTGCCACTGGATCTTGTTATAGATTTGTCTGCTAGATCAAAGAACTCTGTTATCAAATTTTTGTTCCCCGTGTAAATAATTATAGACTGATCGAATCACCCATTAACCTTCTCTTTAATAAGCTACATAGATTGAGCTCCTTGAGTCTTTCATTATAAGACGTTTTCCAGTCTTTTTATCATTCTTGTAGCTCTTCTCTGAAGCTCTCTCCAGTTTTTCAGCATCCTTCTTGAAGTGTGAACGCCAAAACTGGGCACAGTATTCCAGTAGTGGTCTCACCAGTGCCAAATTCAGAGGTAATATAACCTCCCACCCTACACCTCCTCAATATTCCCCTGCTTATACACTCAAGGATTCAATGACTTTAGGGGCTTACTTCTGTGAATTAAGGATTCCTTATGGGGTGGAATGAAGTGTCTTATATTCTCACTTTATTGACCCTATGGGTTCCACCTACATTGATAACTAAAAGGAAAGGTGTTTTGACCAAAGTAACATTTATGCAATCAAAAATAAAGGCTGTCTGATCAGCTTCTTACCCTTTAAATCTCCCTTTATTCAAAAGACAAATAAAAAAGTTTCAATTTCAAATAATGTTACAAGCAATCTTTCATTTATTTAGCTTCCAAAATTCTAATTTCATTCCCAAACTCTCAAGATCGGCTATACAAAAGGCTGCACAATTTTCCACATTCTTCCTCTCATTTGTCTTCTCCTTTCCTCCAAGTACCTTTTTTTTTTTTTTGTAAGAACATGTCAGATCTGCTTTATGGCTTAGACAGGGTGAACAAAGGGCAAGAAACATCATTAAGTATCAACCTTTCTAGTTTTAACAGCCTGGGTGCGGAGATCTTAGACTCCAGAATTCAAAAACATGATCTAATCTAACAGTTATGACTTCCCTTTTAATTTTTTTAATGGGATCTGAGATATATATATTTGGGGAGAGGAAGGTGAAAGTTAACCCAGTTTACCATGTCACTCTACAAATCAAAAGAAAGCAATCCATTATAGATACTTTTGAGGGCAACAGTGTTACAGCGGTATTCCTGATGGGTTTAGAAATTATGGCCTGTGGAACCTCACAGGCATTAAGCCTGAAAATAAAACCATTAGATCTTCTAAACAAATGGAGCCACTATTGGGGGGATATATTTTTCTGCTCACAGTTGGGTTTTTACTTTTCAAAATTGGAAACACACCACACTGAGGAAGTAATAACATTGCAGTAAAATACTCCAAGCCCAATTTTTATTCACATTGATTATTTTTTTACATTTTGAAGTATTGCCTTTGTACATCCATCTGCAAATGTTTATCAGACCGGAATTCAAAATCTTTTGTTCATTAAACCATTTTCTGAGAACACTATTTCCCTTTAGTTATATCTTTGGGCAAAGTGGAAGAGAAATGTGACATGCATGTTTTTTCATTCACCTGCCAAATTCATAATCCACATTCCTTTCGTGAGCCCCACTGGTCAGAAAATATGAAATTACACTTCTGGTCTGCCTTTTACCACTATAATATCAAGAGTGCACACAAGGAATGTTCCTTCCAACCAGAATTTGAATGGTCTCATGAGTATTTACCCTGCCTTTCTCCACTTTAATTCTTTTTTAACTATGTGCATGTGCTCAAAAAGTGAAATATATATTTTAGAAGGGTGGAGAGGCCTACTGAAAGAGGAGTGCTGCAATAAGATTTCAGACCTTCCAACTCCAAGTTACTTAGTTTTTGATTTGTATCAATGCCCATCAATACTGCCAGCCTCATCAAACCGAAAATTTTTTGATGAAGAAGTGGAAAGGATGACACACATGGTCAACTGCTTCTTAAGAGCGAAACATGTTATCTTAATGGCATTCACTCCAAATCTAGAGAGTATGTCATGGTCCTTTGGTCATAAATATTCTTTGATGGAGCTCAGAATGTCATTGGGCAAACTTCCGTGAACTTTTGCTGTTGGTTAAGCCACAATCTAAGTGTTGTTATAACACACAGCAAAAGGCATTCTGAGAACATGTCAGCTTATATACGTTTTAACTTTAGAGAACTGTTATGTGAAAGAAAGCTCTTTATGCCTTCATGTTGCAAAACTAGCAGAGAAATGCCCGACTTCTGCTGTCACAGGCTGTAAAATAAAATTTAATAATTGTCTTCCACAATGCAGAGGCTTCGCAACCGAGTGGCTTGATGTGGTTTTTCCTAGGTCAGTCACTCAGAGCATAGGTTTTCCCTCGAAGTTTCTCTCTTGCATTACTTCTTCCCCAACATGTTCCAGGGTGCCAGATCGGTGGTGGCAGGACCCTACACAGACAGTTATACAAAGGATCCATAACTGTAGCATACTATGAAAAAGTGATTACCTGGTGTACCAGTTCAAAAGCTGGAGGTCACAGTTTATGGTTATAGACCAATTTGCTATTTCCATGAAGCAAACAGTCAAGTGTTCTCTCAGTTGTTCTCAAGATGGAAAAACAGGGATCCTTATGCAGAAAATTAATGGTGGGTAATCTTTTGCAGTTGATCCCAGATACATTTTTGGGGCCCAGTCATACAAGGTGCTGAGCACACTCAGCTCTTATTAGCTTCAAGAGACAGAAGCACCAGAGTGAAGTAGGCACACTGCTATTGGAAGTAGCAGGCCCTCTGCACATAAGTGAATTTCACCCAACTTGAGGAAGTATCACACATGGGAAGAGGCTGTTGGTCTCTCAGATAATCGAGTCCCAATTTAAGGCCACTCGTGTCCCATAGAGCCAGATTCATTCCTCGTGTAGTTGCACTGCAGTCAGTGGAATTACTGCAGGGGTGAATTTTGCCTATTAGCTTCAATAAGACTACTCTCCTAAGTAAAGGTTGCAGGATCAGGCCCTATATTTTTATTTATTTTAATTCATTTTCATGCATAATCATTGAAATATCAAAATGATTTACTCCTAAGTAATAATTACACTAGTAAAGAAAAACTTGTCCAAACCTAACTCTCATTCTGGATCTGGTAGGTATCTTCCTCAGAAAAACAAAACTTCCATGCCTATTATTTAGTGATGGAAGTGATATCAGTCTAGCAAAGCAGCTGATGGTAGATATGGGAATGATTACTCTGAAAGAGAAAAACCAGGAAAAAAGCCTAAGATTCATTACAGTAATATTTGTTTAATAATTCATATAACTAAATATTAAAATATAATATAAAATAATCTCTAAAAGGGAAGTATTGCTGGAAAAATCATGAAACAATTAATATAGTCAAATACTGCAATCATTAGAAGACAATTAATGCCTAATAAAACATAGAGGGCAACTTTTTAGAACTTTAAAAAAAAAAGCGCTGAACTTTGTCCCACCAAATAAAACTCCTGCTGCCACTTTGTCTCATTTCTGAGGAGTGGATTGTTTAAAATTAAACGTAATATAAAACAGTTTTAATATGGGAATGTTTTGGTGAAGAGAAAGCCTCAGGAAAAAACAAATTTGTTGTTTACCTTGCTTTTGTAGGTACATCTTTATAAATTTGTTAGATTAATCTTTCCCTCATGTCTTGCTTTGAAAATCTCATACATTATTTCCTTCTTGACCTTTATATCTTCCTGTGTTTTTATTAGGGTTTTATTGTTGTTGTTGTTTTTAATTAAGTGGCTCATTTTAAATCTTGTTGTGAAGTTCTGACATTTTAAGTAATTTATTTATTTACTTTCCTGATTAAAAATGAATTTAAAAAATTATTGCCAAAAGAGTTGTTTTAATTATGCATGTATCTAAAAATATGAGTTACTTGTGGTACTTATTTGAGGTAGGTGTTTTTACTGTGTGTGTGGGTAGGTGTGTGTGCACATGTGTGTGCATGAAGATGAATACTTGAATAAAACTTTCTTAATTGCTCCTTTAATTGTTTTTCCCCTATGCATCATACTAGAAAGTCTAAAATAATGGAGTGTCTGTTACTTTAGGAATCTCATTGCCAATTACATTGGAGTAGCCTTTGAAAATTCATTTTCTAACAGTAAACTGATTCTTCTCTGTGATCACTGAAGAAAAATTAGATGGAGGAAGTGAGTTTTCTTCTGATTTTCAGAGTTCACATAATCTTTTCACTCTGTGCTTATTTCTGGATATTTCTTACTGTCTGCCACTTCATGGTAAAATAGTTACTTTTTGTCAGGGTCACAGAAAGTTCAGGATTATTAAGAATCTGTTTCTCGCTGCAATGGTGTTAACTACTGGATAACTCTGTCAAAGTCTTATTAAAAGGGACAAGATTATAGTCTCCAGAAGATATACCGTAAAAGGATTTTCTTTTAATTATCTCTCTAGTACATTAAGATTGATGCTTACCTAAATAGAGGACAAACTACCAGATCAGACAGTTATGAACAGGATTGTCCATCAATCCTACCCTGCTGCTACCCATTTCAAAATAAAATCAAACACTTGCTGGATCTTTTATAGACAACATATGACACCCATGTAGCTTTATAATCTATCACGCAATTTGGCAGAATGCAAGACATCACAGAGAGATAGCACATAAATGATAGTGATATCCATGTGATAAATTGTATTTACCACGCACCTTTGACTGTCACTTGCACTCCGCCTACTAACCCACCAAATATATAAAACATCACATCTACTGCAGAAGAGATGGGAAATCCTGGCTCCATCATAGTTAATGGCAAAACTCCGATTGACTTAATTCAGTATCGCCAGGATTTCACTCCTGGTCTTTGCCATTCGATTGTTTTCATGTGGGGCAGGGAAAAACAAATGTATTTTTCTCATGTTTAAAAGCAGTTTTCACAAACTTAAGGACCTGATCTTGTTCTCTTTGGAGTCAATGGGCTTTGCCACCAACTTCAACTGAAGAAGCAGAAGGTCTTTATATTTGTATCTCAAATACTTTTTATACATACTCTTTCATATGTATTATTAATTATTATTATTATTATTATTTGTATTACAGTAGTACCTACTGGCCCCAGGCACAGATCAGGTCTCCCCACTGTGCTAGGTGCTGTACAAACACAGAACAAAGAGACACTCCCTGCCCCAAAGAGCCCATAATCTAAACACAGGAGAACAGCCAACAGGTGGATACAACAAACAATGAGACATTGCTAGCACCATCATAAGCAATGGCTAAGTACAATGGCTAAGTACAGCTGCCAAAGAATTAATTCAAAATGGTAAAAAAAAGTGTCATAATTTTAAAGGAAATGCTAGGGAGGATCTAAGTTTTTTCATAAAAACCACAAAAGTAAAAAATACTTTTTTCCAAAAGCCTTTTTCAAACACACCCCCAAAATAATTAATTTTGATAAAGTTCAGTTTTGCAAACCAAAAATCAAACCAAATGCTGTTTTATTGAAACCCTCTCCCCAAAAAACACTATTTTTTCCTGTTTCCATTTGTTTCAACCAAAAAGAAAATTTTCTACAAAAAAAAACTCATTTTGGTTGAAAAAGCATTTTGCGTACAAAAAAGTCTTGACAAAAAAATTATTTCTCAGGTCTACCCCTTGTATGTATATATGGATGTAGGCAGTGCTTCATTTTTGCCAGGGCTGAAACCCAGCACCTCTAGACTTGGCAGTTCATAGCCCCAGTATCTCTGGGCTTGCCGCATCAGTTTTGAAAGTTTAAAAAAAATGGTTGTTCTTTATTAGAATTCATTAGAAATTAAGCACTGGGTGTATGCATGTGTCACTTTAAAGGTCAAGGCAAATGTTAACAAATGAAGTATAGTTACATCAATTTCCATATCACTCATGTGATCACTAGAGCGCACTGTAACACTGGAGAAGTTACCTTGTGGGTGTCAAGAGTATAATACAGAGGAAAAAAGTGCTAAGTGTAATTTGGCAGCAGAAATAAAGGCCAAATACTCTGCTGGTGTAAATAGCTGCAGCTCCACTGAAGTCAATAAAGCTGGGTCAGTTTATACTATAATAGAATTTGGGAGCGGGAGGAAGAGTCAACATTGCTTCTTTTTTCAGTTAGCTCACAAGAATTGAAAACTAGCGGGAAAAAATATATTTTTGGCAAATTCATTCAATACCTTCACTCGTCCCACCTGCATCTGAAATCCATGCAATGAGCAGTTCTGCTGCACTTTCTCCTACTTCTTTAATTTTCTTACTTACCTGTACTACATACCATACATTGCAAACACTGTTGCATTGTTTTTTCATAAGGCCTTCTCTACTTGGATGAGAACATTTATCTGGATGTGAACATATGCCCAGATTCACAGCATTTCCATTATCACATTGAAAACTCCTATAGAATCCTGCATTATGGTATTACATTTTTAGTTGTATGAGTCATTTCCCACCCTAGCCATAATTTGTATTCAGTAAAGATTGTGTGGGTTGATATAAAAATTGCATAAATTTGTAATTAAAGAAAAAATGCTCAGCTGTTTGGCCACAGTTTTGTTTGCTACATACAGTGGTTGCCCTTAAAGACTTTACAGTTTTATCCTAGATAACCTGCAGCAGCTGGTGCTGGCTCAGGGGCTGCCTGAGCCGGGCAGCCCCAGGGCCAGCAGCAGCAGTATGGGTGTGTGGGAGGGGATTCAGGGCTAGGGGCAGGGGATTGGAGGGTATGGGGTGTGCTTACCTTGGGGTGTGGTGCTCCCACTGGCATGGCCCTGCAGCTCCTAGACAGCGTGGAGCCAGGTAGGGAGCCCCTGCAAGCCCCGCCAACCATCCCCCACCAGCACCAGCAGGGGTCCTGGACCACCTCCCCCAGCACCCACGGCACCCCCAGACATCCGCCAGAGCACCCACAGCCCCCCACCCAAGTTTTAGTCATTGGTATTTTTAGTAAAAGTCATGGGTAGGTCACGGGCCATGAATTTTTGTTTAGTGCCTGTGACCCATCCATGATTTTTACTAAAAATAACCATGACTAAAACATAGCCTAAGTTATAATGGATCACAAATTGAATGAGTCAACAATATGATGCAGTTTCAGAAAAGGCTAATATAATTCTGGTGTGTATTAACAGGGGTGTTGTATATATCACAAGGGGAAAATTATCCCACTCTACTTGGCACTGGTGAGGCCTCAGTTGGAGTACTGTGTCCAATTCTGGATGGAAAGATTGGACAAATTGGAGAAAGTCAAGAAGAAAGCAACAAAAAATGACAAAAGTTTTAGAAAACCTGATCTATGATGAAAGATTTAAAAACTGGGCATGTTTAGCCTTGAGAAAAAAAAACTAAAGGGGGACCTGATAACAATCTTCAAATATGTTAAGAGGTGTTATAAGAGGACTGTGATCAATTGTTCTCCCTGTCCACTGAAGTTAGGACAAGAGGTAATAGGCTTAATCTGCAGTAATGGAGATTTAGGTTAAATGTTAAGAAAAACTTTCTAATTATAAAGATAGCTAAGCCCTGGACTAGGCTTCCAAGGAAGGTTGTAGAATCCACATCATTGGAGGTTTTTAAGAACAGGTTGGACAAATATCTGTCAGGGATGGTCTAGGTTTACTCGGTACTGCCTCAGTGCAGGGGGCTGAACTTCATGAGTTCGAGGTTCCTTCCATCCCTGAATTTCTGATTCTAAGATTCTAAACCAGATTCCTAAAGGTATCAATCATACAGCACTATTCTCTAATAGAGGAACTTAGCAATGAGGAAAAAGATAAGTTCTATAATTGCCTCTGAAGCTTGGCTGATAGACTACTAAAACCTGATTTACTCCTTGTGATGGGTGAATTTAACACTAAAGTAGGAAGCGATAACCAAGGAATGGAAAGAGCAATGGGGATGTATGGGTTGGGAATCATTAACCAAAATGTGGAGAGATTCATTGTGCTTGGTGTCCGACCTTGTTCTTACAAGCACCCTGATCCCTCATGATATACGAAAAGAAACTCAGAATTCACCAGATGGCAAAACATTAAAAAAACCAGACTGATCGCATCTGCACCAGCTTGAGATACAGTTCATCTGCCCAAGACAGAAGGGCATATTGAGCAGCAGATGTTAACAGCAACAACTACTTTTGCATTGCCAAACTGAAATTCAGACTGAGAAAGATCAACTTTAAACAGAAAGTGGCAAAGAAAATCAACTGTACAGAACTGAAAACA